ATGGACATTAAGACACCACACCGTACAAATACTATATCAAAGATTTGCAAAATGTAAATGCCAAAATCGAACATTTGTGGGAGAGAACTATATACGTGTCATATACCAGATTAACTGCTTGACAATTAATTGAAAACGTTATATAGCTCCTCGAGAAAGCTTCATGTCTCAAAAGGCTTAGCGCTGGCAATCTTATGGATATTTTTTTATTATACAAAATATCTACAGCTTTCTAGCTACATGGAGTTTTATTTACTGAGCAGTTATATACTGTTTACCTCTGTTGTTGACGGAAGAGGAAACTCTCACCCCACTCAATGAAGAAAATCATCATCATGACCGCAACCATTGATGCTAGGATGAGGAGCCATATCTGTAACATGGTTCATATAAGATATTGGTGACCACCAGGACCAGAAGCGCGAACAAGATCCAAGCGCTTTCGTGATTATTCACATCTTCAGGAGATATAGTAAGAGTGAGCTGCCAGACGTTGACCCTATGTGTTATTACTGAGCTTCAACAACTAAGGCCGAGAGTCAAGAATGAGATCTAGATACAGGTGCCGGGAGACAAGTAACAACTTCCCGGTGGTCACATAAAGTCTGGAAGGACTACGATGCAATACTCACCATAGACTTGTGACAAAGTTGTTAATGATGGAAGGACCTAATTTATATAACAAAAAATACGGTTAACATTACTATTAACAGTATTCCTAATAATTACTGTTTCAATATTGTTAAAATCAACAATTGTTTTACACGAAACAACTTTATAAACATTATCCTAATTAGTCGGATGATCAGATTCTCTCATATGAACAGACAGAGCATTTGATTCTTGTCCAGTGCGGATACTACACTCTGAGTAAATTACTCCGAGAGGGTAATTTGGACTTTTTCAGGAGGTAATGAATGTCAAACAAGATATGAACAAGCGATTAGCACCTTAGAAATATTATAATACAATACATGCTATAATGATTACGTTAAGACGAGTTTGTGGCAATGCCATTTATAATCTGCAGGACGCTTCTCAGACCTAATTAGTCTTCTCCTCATTACTAATTGATCAATTTTCTCAATATCCCTCACAAACAAAGGTAACTTTCGTTCTAATAGCAACAGTTCTTCTAATAGCAACAGAGATGTTTCCCTTTCCTTTAGTCTTCTGTTAAGGTCATTTAAAAGCGACTTCCACCATGACGGGAAATTTTATAGCTAAGAATATTCATGGCCTTTATCACGCAATTATTTCTTCACTTCTACCCAGACAGACTGTAAACCTTACGAGTACTCGTCCTCTATACTAGTAATTGTTGTTAAGGGGAAGGTCTGAATACTGACAATCAACCTCTTTCAGAAGTTCACGAAACTGTCGCTGGCTTAAGTCTTTTTACTATTATTTTGTTGACAGTTTTCACTACTAAGGTCATCACTTGTGTGAACTCTGGTGGTAAAGACTGTGCACACAGTGTATCTTGATGACTGATGCGGTAAAATGATATCACATCAAGATCCAGATATTTCCTTAATAAAGAAACAAAACCCTTGTGTGTCCCTCTCATACTCGGTGCACCATCAGTCGCAACACAGAAATTTGTAGTTGGTTTACGTTTCTTTTGTTTACAAACAAGTGATATTACTTTAGATGAAAAAAAGGATTCCTCGTTTGACCAGTGAGGGGTAGCAAGTCAATGAGTTCCTCTTGTACAATGCCATCATCATCATCATCATCATCATCATCATCATCACCATCATCATCATCATCACCATCATCATCATCAACAAGATTCTTCACGTTCAATAGATATGTCCTGGACTGAATTAATGTCATCAGTTTGCCGACTGGTGATGTCTTTGGCCATTTTAATGCTCTATCCCTCACCGTCTTTGCAGACACTGGCTCTTCCTTAATTCACTAAACAGCTCTGATGCTTCAGTAAAACAATGCTCCATGTATGCACCATCTTTGAAAGGACCTCGTTTAATTATCTCTTGACTTACCACAACACTGTCTGCAGTTGTGTCATTTAAAGATTTCACTCATTTCGTGAATTTACTCTCACTTTGTTCTGCTTTGTGTTACACTTTCTCCACAATTTTCTTTTTGGCATCTCCAGCTGCATATTTCTCAGTGAAGTCTCTGTGCTTCGTGTGAAAATGGCTTTCGAGATTGCACTGCTCGATGTTGGCCAATTCTCCATTGTAAATGATATAAGAAGGAAGTCCTCTATATCTCTGTGTGAATGACAAACATTCTTTATAGTCATTTATATATTCTCTATTTTCATCTTCTATTTTTGTCTTCTGAGATGAAATTTTCCAACTCTTAATATAGACTTATTATATCACCTTTAACTCACCTATTGAACTGGTGTTGACTTTCAGAGAACAAAATTGAGGCTAACGCGAGAGGGTACTGGAGGTGAGGTAAGGAACAGTACTAGATAACCCTCACCTTCACCTATCCACCTTTTCTAGTTTCCCGTGACACGGCGTTATAAGGTTGCTTGGCGATAAATTAAAGAATCGTCACCTCTTACACATTGTAAAGGGATATAGAACTAAATAACCGTGAATGACAGCAAATATGTGTAATACTGTATATACCAGGTCAAAACAATTCTCTATATGTTTCCTGCTTACATTCACTTTTCCAACTTCCATATTTTTTTCACTTACGGTAATTTATTAATCTTTAAGCAGGTGCCAGGAGCCGCACAAGTACTTGACCAAAGAAAAAATTCAGTACAGATACAAGTTAAATTGATAATATGTATGTATAGTTCTTGACCCTAGTGTACCGACAAGTAGTGAAGCGTTCATTACAGTATGCACCACCGCCGTGACATATCATGAACAAAATTAACTAAGACTAAGTAAAAAAATAAATGTAAAAAGGATTTTTGACAAATTCCTTGGTAACTATTATGTGCAAGTTTACTTTTCCTAGATCATTAAGATATGATTTTTGTGCGGTGGGAGATGATGAGTATTGGATATGGGTGTTAGCACTGTGTGTTATATACAAACTATTCACACGTGACAGAGACGTAGAAGTTGATGAAAACAGCTAAATGTGACCCTCACGATATTCTTTAATGTTCTGTTACATTTACTGTTTACAGAGTAAAGTGGATTTTGTCTCAGAAGTTTCTAAGCATCAGAATCAACCAACATCTTGGATCTTTTTGTCTTTCTGTTCTCAAGTGATTACCTGTAAGTGAGACGCTCTGAGTGAGAAGAAGGTAAGGGACAAAGGGTCTTATGATGTGTTAATTGTACCATTATACTTATTTACTTTATTACTATTGACGCAATAATAACAACATTAATTCATCTCTTCACAACGTAAAACTTTTAAACTCACAAAAGTTGTAAAAGGTTTCACAAAACCAGCGAGATCTGCTCCAATTACTGGACTCTGGTATGCAATCACAGAAGACTCCATGAATATCGGTATACTGAAGTCGACAGCGTGAATTCGCATATGAGTCATAGGAAATGAAGAACCCGATATATCACACTCCTGACAAATGGATATTATTATTAATACCAAGTTGAGGTGAAGGCTAGAAAAAAATGCAAGAAAATTGAACCATCTCAGTATAATGAACTCTATCAATAAACAATGTTGAGAAATATTCACAGAAACAATCGCGAGCAATATAACATACTAAGGAAACACACGAATAGGATAATTAGTGATGACTTACCATTGTTTACCTTACAACAAAACAGACTCACCTGGCGGATAAGATAGCTTATAACGCCTAGCCAAGTACCATTAGGCTGCTGGAATCCTGCAGTGACTAAGTCTGGGAACACCCACTCGTAGCTGTGGAGAAAAAAAAAATATATATATACCTGTATATATATATATATATATATATATATATATATATATATATATATATATATATATATATATATATATATATATATATATATATATATATATATATATATATATATATATATATATATATATATATATATACAGTATATATATAATCAACACCTCAACACGCCAGGATTCTGTAATTAACTGAAGCTACAAATTATAGACTTCCCAAAACAACAGATCAATACGCCCCTGTGTATACCCATCCTAGTGTTGGAGACCTGGCAAGACTCCTGGACACGTTGTCAACTAAACGTGATGCCTTAATCTTGTATTGGGGAAGGGTTTGTCTCAGCTCAATAATATATTCTACTGCCTATAAAGGGTTAAGACAGTTGCCACACACTACAGTACTACACACTACAGTAAGACAACACTACAGTACTACACACTACAGTACCACACACTACAGTACTACACACTACAGTACTACACACTACAGTAAGACAACACGACAATAATACACACTACAGTAAGACAACACTACAGTACTACACACTACAGTAAGACAACACTACAGTACCACACACTATAGTAAAACAACACTACAGTACTACACACTACAGTAAGACATAACTACAGTACTACACACTACAGTAAGACAGCACTACAGTACTACACACTACAGTAAGACAGCACTACAGTACCACACACTACAGTAGGACAAAACTACAGTACTACACACTTCAGTAAGACAACACTACAGTACTACACACTACAGTAAGACAACACTACAGTACTACACACTACAGTAAGACAAAACTACAGTACCACACACTACAGTAAGACAACACTACAATACTACACACTACACAACACTACAGTACCACACACTACAGTACTACACACTACCGTAAGGCAACACTACAGTACTACACACTACAGTAAGACAACACTACAGTACCACACACTACAGTACGACAACACTACAGTACTACACACTACAGTAGCACACACTACATTAAGACAACACTACAGTACCACACACTACAGTAAGACAACACTACAGTACCACAAACTACAGTACCACACACTACAGTACCACACACTGTAGTATGAAAACACGACAGTACTACACACTACAGTACCACCCACTACAGTAAGACAACACTACAGTACCACAAACTTCAGTCCCACACACTACAGTAAGACAACACTAGAGTACTACACACTACAGTAGGACAACACTACAGTAACACACACTACAGTAAGACAACACTACAGTACTACACACTACAGTACCACACACTACAGTACCACACACTATAGTAAGAAAACACTACAGTACTACACCCTACAGTACCACACACTACAGTAAGACAACACTACAGTACCACACACTACAGTACTACACCCTACAGTACCACACACTATAGTAAGACAACCCTACAGTAATACACACTACAGTACCACACACTATAGTAAGACAACACTACCACACACTACAGTAAGACACACTCAGTACCACTACAGTACACACACACTACAGTAAGACAAAACTACAGTACTACACTACAGTAAGACACACTACAGTACTACACACTACAGTAAGACAACACTACAGTGCACTACACACTACAGTAAGACAACACTACAGTACCACACTACAGTAAGACAACACTACAGTACCACACACTACAGTACCACACACTACAGTACTACACAATACAGTAAGACAACACTACAGTACCACACACTACAGTAAACAACACTAAGAAATGAGACAACACTACAGTAAGACAACACTACAGTACTACACACTACAGTACTACACACACTACAAACTCACACACTACAGTAAGAACAACACTACAGTAAGACAACACTACAGTACTACACACTACAGTACTACACACTACAGTACTACACACTACAGTGAACAACACTACAGTAAGACAACACTACAGTACTACACACTACAGTACTACACTACAGTACTACACACTACAGTAAGAACAACACTACAGTAAGACAACTACAGTACTACACACCAGTACACACACACTACAGTACTACACACTACAGTACTACACACCTACAGTAAAACAACACTGTCCACACTACAGTACTACACACTACAGTACTACACACTACAGTACTACTACAGTACTACACACTACAGTACTACAGTAAGACAACACAACAGTACCACACACTACAGTACTACACACTACAGTAAGACAACACTACAGTAAGACAACATCACAGTACTACCACACTACAGTAGGACAACACTACAGTACTACACACTACAGTACTACACACTACAGTACTACACACTACAAGTACTACACACTACAGTACTACACACTACAGTACTACACACTACAGTACTACACACTACAGTAAGACAACACAACAGTACCACACACTACAGTACCACACACTACAGTAGACAACACTACAGTACCACACACTACAGTACCACACTAGTACCACTCAGTACAACAAGACAAAACTACAGTACCACACAGTACAGTAAACAGCACTACAGTACACACAGTACCACACACTACAGTACTACACACTACAGTACTACACACTACAGTACTACACACTACAGTACTACACACTACAGTACTACACACTACAGTGAACAACACAACATACCACACACTACAGTACTACACACTACAGTAAGACAACACTACAGTACTACACACTACAGTAAGACAACATCACAGTACTACACACTACAGTAAACAACACTACAGTACCACACACACAGTACCACACACTACAGTACTACACACTATAGTACACACCACAGTACTACACACTACAGTACTACACACTAAAGTAAGACAACACTACAGTACTACACTACAGTACTACACACTACAGTACTACACTACAGTACTACACACTACAGTACTACACTACAGTACTACACACTACAGTAAGACAACACTACAGTACTACACTACAGTACTACACGATACTACACACTACAGTACTACACACACAGTGCCACACTACAGTACTACACACACAGTAAACAACACAACAGTACCACACACTACAGTACTACACACTACAGTAAGACAACACTACAGTAAGACAACATCACAGTACTACACCGTGAACAACACTACAGTAAGACAACACTACAAGTACTACACACTACAGTACTACACACTACAGTAAGACAACACTACAGTACTACACACTACAGTACTCACACACTACAGTAAACAACACAACAGCAAGACAACACTACAGTACCACACACTACAGTACCACACACTACAGTAAGACAACACTACAGTATCACACACACTACAGTAAGACAACACTACAGTACCACACTACAGTACCACACACTGCAGTACTACACACTACAGTACCACACACTACAGTAAGACAAAACTACAGTACCACACTACAGTACTACACACTACAGTAAAACAACACAACAGCAAGACAACACTACAGATGAACAACACTACAGTACCACTACAGTACTACACACTACAGTACTACACACTACAGTAAAGACAACACTACAGTACCACACACTACAGTAGACAAAACTACAGTACCACACACTACAGTACCACACACTACAGTGAACAACACTACAGTACCACACACTACAGTGAACAACAACCAGCAACAACACAGTACCACACTACAGTAAGACAACACTACAGTATCACACACTACAGTACGACAACACTACAGTGCCACACACTACAGTATGACAACACTACAGTACCACACACTACAGTAGACAACACTACAGTACCACACACTACATTTCACACACAAGAATAAGCCACACTACAGTACCAAACACTACAGTAAGACAACACTACAGTACCACACACTACAGTAACAACACTACAGTAGAACACCACTACAGTAACACATCACTACAGTACCACAACACTATAGTACCACACAGCTACAGTAAGACAACACTACGGTACCACACACTTCAGTACCACACTGTACAGTAAGACAACACTACAGTACCACACACTACAGTACCACAACACTACAGTAAGACAACACTACAGTACATCCTACATTACCACAACACTTAAGTACCACCCACTACAGTAAGACAACACTACAGTACCATTACAGTACCACACACACTACAGTACCACTCAAGTACAGTAAACAGCACTACAGTACCACACACTACAGTACCACACACTATAGTACTGCACACTACAGTACTACACACTACAGTACCACAACACTACAGTACACACACTACAGTAAGACAATACTACAGTACTACACACTTCAATACCAATACACTACAGTGCCACACACTACAATAAGACAAAACTACAGAACCACACACTACAGTACCACACACTACAGTACACACACTACAGTAAAACAACACTGCAGTACTCACACACTACATAACCACACACTACAGTATCACACACACAGTTGCAAACACTACAGTAAGACAACACCACAGTACCACACACTACAGTACCACGACACTACAGTACCACACACTACAGTGCCGCGACACTACAAGTACCACACATTTCAATAAGACAAAACTACAGAACCACACACTACAGTACCACACACTACAGTAAGACAACACTACAGTACCACACAACAGTAAGACAACACTACAGTCCACACACTACAATTGCCACACTACCAGTACCTACTGAAAGACAACACTACAGTACCACACTGATGAACAACACTACAGTACCACACATTACAGTAAACAACACTACAGTACCACCCCTTACAGTAAGAACAACACTACAGTACCACACACTACAGTACGACAACACTACAGTACACACTACAGTACTGACAACACTGCAGTGCCACACTACAGTACTACACTACAGTAAGACAACACTACAGTACCACAACACTACAGTACCACAACCTGCGTACCACACACTACAGTACTATACACTACAGTACACACACTACAGTAAGACAACACTACGGTAGAACACTACAGTACACTACAGTACTACAGCACAGTGCTACACAGTACCGTAAACAACACTACAGTACCACACACCAGATGACAACACTACAGTACCACACTACAGTACAGCACTACAGTACACCACAGTGCAGTAGACAACACTACAGTAAGACAAATACAGTACCACACACTAAGTACCACAACACTACAAGTGCCACATACACAGTATGACACTGCAGTGCCACACACTACAGTACCACACACAACAGTAAGACAACACTACAGTACCACACTACAGTAAGACAACACTACAGTACCACAACACTACAGTACCACAACACTATAGTACCACACACCTGCAAGTGTACCAACACTACAGTACCACAACACTACAGTACCACAACACTACAGTACCACACCTACAGTGAACAACACTACAGTACCCACACTACAGTACCACACTGTACAGTAAGACAACACTACAGTACCACACACTACAGTACCACAACACTACAGTCCCACCTACAGTAAGACAACACTACAGTACCACCACTGTAGTACACACACTACAGTACCACACAGCTACAGTAAGAAAACACTTCTAGTACCACACAGTACAGTAACACAACACTACAGTACCACACTCAATACACACTACAGTACCACACACTACAGTACTACACACTACAGTACCACACACTACAGTACCACACACGCATATGACACACTACAGTACCACAACACTACAGTACCACACTACAGTAGACAACACTACAGTACACACTACATAACCACACCTACAGTATCACACACTACGGTACCCACACTACAGTACACAACTCTACAGTACCCCACACTACAGTAAACAACACTACAGTACCACACTACAGTACCACAACACTACAGTACCACACACTACAGTGCCCACAACACTACAGTACCACACACTAAAATGTAAAACAACAGAACCACACTACAGTACCCACAGTACAGTAAGACAACACTACAGTACCACACACTACAGTAAACAACACTACAGTACCACCAGTACCCTCACAGTAACAACACTACAGTACCACACACTACAGTAAGACAACACTACAGTACCACACACTACAGTACCACACTACAGTAACACTACTACACACACACACTACAGTATCACACACTACAGTACCACAACACTACAGTACCACACACTACAGTGCCACAACCTACAGTACCACACTACAGTACCACACACTACAGTACCACAACCTACAGTACCACACACTACAGTAACACAACACTACTGTACCACACACTACAGTAAACCAACTACAGTACCACACACTACAGTAAGACAACACTACAGTACCACACACACAGTACCACAAATTACAGTACACAAAACTAGACCACACACTACAGTACCACACACGACAGTACCACCACACTACAGTACCACACACTACAGTACCACACACTACAGTAAGACAACATAGTACCACACTACACAGTAAGACAACACAGTACCACACTACAGTAAGACAACACTACAGTACCACACACTACAGTGCCACACTACAGTACCACACTACAGTACCACACTATAGGACCATACACTACAGTACCACACTACAGTAAGACAACACTACAGTACCACACACTACAGTACCACACTACAGTACCACACACTACAGTACCACAACACTACAGTACCACACACACACTACAGTACACACACTACAGTACCACACACACAGTAAGACACCTACACTACCCCACACACACTGTACCACACTGTAATACCACACAACACTACAGTACCACCGTACAACTACTACAGTACACACACACTACAGTACCACACACTACAGTACCACACACTACAGTAAGACACACTACAGTACCACACACTACAGTAACACACTACAGTACCACACACTACAGTACCACACACTACAGTACCCACTACAGTAAAATAACCTACAGTACCACACTATAGTACCACACACTACAGTACCACACACTACAGTAAGACAACTCTACAGTACCACACACTACAGTGCCACACTACAGTACCACACACTACAGTAGATAACTCTACAGTACCACACACTACAGTACCACACACTACAGTATCACACACACTACAGTAACACACACTACAGTATCACACACTACACAAAAGATAATGCCGTTTTTTATATCACAAGGGTTTTGCCGTTTAATGGAATATCTACACATTTTGATTAATTCTTTTTTAAACAACCAATGATACAAAAGGGTATTCCAACAGACCATACCATACATGTCACAACTTAACATTATAAGCATATAATGAGCGTGTGGAGAGTTGTGAACATTAATGAGGACTTAAACTGGGTCTTACCACGTATTGAGTTTACTTGTTAATATTTTCAGTACTTCATACATGGGCCCGTGGATCGTGTAAGGTCTTGCGGTGTCGTCTACAGTCATGCGCGGAAAGTACTGTTGAGGATAAGTGGATGAACACATTAGTACCTAGACCATAATACTCTTTAAATGAATGATGCTAGAGAGGGACAACTGGAAGATATTTGTCCTAATATAAGTAACACTTGTTCCTCAAGGATGTTAATAATACTTGAGATTATATTATTGTATATATACATTACGATTGTAATTAGCAATAATTAAAACTGCCGTATTTATCCGAATTCTAACAGCAATGTTTTCTCACTATAATGTTAACGATGATATCGCCGAATTAAACTGTCATTTTGTGACATCCATTAAAACTATAACACTTGCAGTCAACGTACTTGTTGGTAGAGAACAATGATAAACTAACACTTGCAATCGGGAGCTGATCGTTTCCCCAGCACCAATAGTCGATTACCCGTCAGCACCAGCCAGGTTGACTGGTACCCCATTGGTGAACAGAAATAGTCACAATTTAGCTAGAAAGTCATAGGAATCTTCAGCAGGAAAAGTCACATTTTACTTAAATATCATTTAAGGTTAAAGTAATAAACAGAAAAATAGTTTGTCACTTATTAACTGATATGACATGACTTGTAAACATTGACAACACAATTTACATATGATAGCATTACAAATATGTTAGGTTACGTTAGGTTACGTTAGGTAAAGTTAGGTTAGGTTAGGTTAAGTTAGGTTAGGTTAGTTTACGTTAAGTTACTTTTTTCTGTGATTTATTTCTTGTGACTTTTTTCTGTGACTTATTTCTTGTGACTTTTTCTGTGACTAATTTCTGTGACTTTTTTCTGTGACTTATTTCTTGTGACTTTTTCTGACATTTCTAGTGACTTTTTTCTGTGACTTATTTCTGTGACTTTTTCGTGACTTTTTTCCTGGATTCACCCCCATCACCTCAAGATACGTTTGGTTAGGTTAGGTTAAGTTAGGTAAGGTTTGGTTTGGTTAGGGGAATCGTCAAGTAGATGGCAGGAATCGACCGAGATGAGGGAACCGGTCAGCCTGGATGGAAGTGACGGAAATCAACCACTGGTGACGGCGACCAATCGTTTCAACAGGGAAACGTTTAGTAGCCTTGCAATCAACGCACCTTGTTACCAGAGAGCAGTGACGCGGGTAACACAGTCAAAGCACTTTATTACAAAATAAAGCGAGGCATAGATTAGTTAACACACTTTAATACTGTATAGTAGCCAGGCAGTGGGCACTTAACATCAACACTGTTCAAGAAAACAATAATGTGGTGAAGCACTTACTATCATATCGCAAACTTTGAGACAAGAAGATGAGTTGGTGGCACCGGTGGTCATGTTGGTGGCACCGGCGGTCATGTTGGTGGCACCGGCGGTCATGCCTATGGCGGCTATGAGTATGGTTGCGGCAGCAGTCACGGTGGCGGCGGTGTTCATGGTGGCGACGGCAGTCAGAGTGGCAGGAGAGCGTCCCTCACACAAGTGACTCCTCCCCGCCCTCCCGTCATTTAAGGTCTGCGTCTCATGATTAAATTTAGTGACCTGAACTAACATTTTCACGTCTGATTGATTTCATTTTGTGAGCCACGAGCAACTTGCATTAGTCAAATTGTATTCCTGATTTGTTTTCATTTGTCCTCGTAATATATTGATCTGGGAGGCTGTAGCGTAACTCAACCAGTTAGGTGTATGTTCATCTCTTAAGCTACGAGGAATAGTCATTGTATAAACTTTAAAGGATCATAACACTGAGTTACGTGTCGTGGCTCCCCAGAAATGTTATGAAAGTGGAATTTGGGGACTCAGCCTCAGTGGTCGGCCCCCAACCCCTAAAGGTGGATTCCCCTCATTAAAAGCATATTTATTTTTCTGTGTCTTCGCTATGCACGTCCACGGTTTTAAGATAAAGATTTGAAATGCGGTATGTTTATATAATCAGCCCCGAGAAAGCTCACCTGGAGGTGGGCCCACCTGTGCACGACTACAGGTTATCTTTTAGTGTGTCTATATTTTATGGCCTTAACTTTTTTTAAAATGAGAAAGTACAATATGGTATGGTTATAAAATTGATGGTGTAATCTGGGGTCGACTCCGCTAATATTTGGTACACTTTCGTATATATTACTTCGCCAAAAACACACCCGAATATCGCTGTGTACACAGGAACCAAAAGTATCTGTGCACATTAGGTCCTGTGATTTCCTAAATGATCAACACACCTTGCCACAATGTCACAGCCAACATGAACCATATTATGTGTATATAATACAAATATTTACTATGGATAGAAAAGGAGATGTCTTACTGGCATTTTGCAATATCCATCGTCTGTAGTGTGAGACTGTTTTGCCCTAAGTTCACAGATGCTTTTTCATTGAGTGTACCCCAGTATCCCTCTAGTGTATATATATATATATATATATATATATATATATATATATATATATATATATATATATATATATATATATATATATATATATATATATATATATTAATAGCCAGGTCTGTAGCTGAAAGCGAGAGGGAGCAAGAAGCACTTTAACACAAACGTAATGATGCCACACTAGACGCATTACACCGCCCTATGTGCGCGCGCGCGCATACACACACACACACACACACACACACACACACACACACACACACACACACACACAATTATGCTGTAGTACAGTGGTCCCAACCTGTAGTTCGCGGGCGCGCCGTATTAATCAAGATAGGTTTTAACCCTCTCGCCGCGGGAGGTTACCCTAAGGCCTTGGCTGAATAAAATCGTCTGGCGGTAGCCAGAATGAAATGGCAATTGCATGACACGCAGCAAAATGGTTAAGGAGTCCGCAAGGGTTTATTAGAAAATTGAGATTTATTTTGGATTATTTGTTTGGGTGAAATTAATGAAAATGTGTAATAACTTGATACAACTGTCGTGTACAGGACGTGTGTGTTTACCCCAGACCGGGCCCAGAGAGTCCCTCCACCATCCACATATAATGCCAAACTGGTAAGTTAGACGTGTAACACTGCAAATAACTGTACAGTATACATGATTATTTTTTATTGAATTTAGATCCAAAGTTTTAGCGGCCTCCACTATATATACAATGATAATTGTAGACCAGAGCCTACAAAAGTTTTTTTTTTTTTTACAGGGATTAGTCCACCCGGGCACAGGTCACTGACCCACATCAGGGCCTGGGGAGAAAAATGTAATAATAATAATAATATTAATATTAATAATAATAATAATAATAATAATAATAATAATAATAATAATAATAATAATAATAATAATAATAATTCATATTAAAAGAATGTATAATAAGAATACAAAAATTAAAAATTAATGAAACAATAATGATAAAATAACAGTAACAACACTGTAATAATAATAATAAAGAACCATATGGAAATACAAAATGAAAAAATCAATAGTGAGAAACAATATATGTATGTTGTGTTGTCAAAGTAAGAGAAACAATTGAGACCCTGCAATTGTGTGTAAATGAGGCAGAAAGTCAGACCAGCAACCTGGGAATTTGTCACAATTTTTGCGATGCCATATGGCAGCAGGGTCTACCATTAGACAACACATAATGCTTACAATATCTTCCTAGGTGGTACTACCTCCCTGTTTGGTAGCTGCCTACTACCTACAGTACTACCTACGTTGGGGACCACTGCTGTAGTGCACCCCTCTTTCATCACACAGCCAAGCTGTGGAATGCTCTGCCTTCTTCTGTGTTTCCATTCTCTTATAATCTGTCTCATTAAAAAAAAACCGGTTTTCCGGCCTCTTCGTGGTGTAGATTAAGTCTTTTTCTCCTCTTTTTTTTTTACTCTTACTTTTCACCCCATGCCCCATTGTGGGTTGATGCCAGGTAGAACTACATCATTAATACCATGGGCCGATTTTTCAAACTCAAAAAAAAAATTGCCTCTCCGTATGACACACCCTATTACTGTAGTGTGTAGTACTGCAGTGTTGTCTTACTGTAGTGTGTAGTATTGTAGTGTGTAGTACTGTAGTGTGTAGTACTGTAGTGTGAGTGGTACTGTAGTGTGTAGTACTGTAGTGTTGTTTTACTGGAGTGTGTAGTACTGCAGTGTGTAGTACTGTAGTGTGTAGTACTGTAGTGTTGTCTTACTGTAGTGTGTAGTACTGTAGTGTTGTCTTACTGTAGTGTGTGGTACTGTAGTGTTTGGTACTGTAGTGTGTAGTACTGTAGTGTGTAGTACTGTAGTGTGTAGTACTGTAGTGTAGTACTGTAGTGTTGTCTTACTGTAGTGTGTAGTACTGTAGTGTTGTCTTACTGTAGTGTGTGGTACTGTAGTGTTTGGTACTGTAGTGTGTGGTACTGTAGTTGGTGGTACTGTAGTGTTGTCTTACTGTAGTGTGTGGTACTGTAGTGTGTGGTACTGTAGTGTGTGGTACTGTAGTGTTGTCTTACTGAAGTGTGTAGTACTGTAGTGTTGTCTTTACTGTAGTGTGTGTGTACTGTAGTGTTTGGTACTGTAGTGTGTGGTACTGTAGTTTGTGGTACTGTAGTGTTGTCTTACTGTAGTGTGTGGTACTGTAGTGTTTTGGTACTGTAGTGTGTAGTACTGTAGTGTTGTCTTACTGTAGTGTAGTACTGTAGTGTGTGGTACTGTAGTGTAGTACTGTAGTGTGTGGTACTGTAGTGTGTAGTACTGTAGTGTTGTCTTACTGTAGTGTTGTTACTGTAGTGTGTAGTACTGTAGTGTTGTCTTACTGAAGTGTGTAGTACTGTAGTGTTGTACTGTAGTGTGTGGTACTGTAGTGTTTGGTACTGTAGTGTGTGGTACTGTAGTGTGTGTGTTGTCTTACTGTAGTGTGTGGTAGTGTTTGGTACTGTAGTGTGTAGTGCTGTAGTGTTGTTCACTGTAGTGTAGTACTGTGTGGTACTGTAGTGTGTAGTACTGTAGTGTGTGGTACTGTAGTGTGTAGTACTGTAGTGTTGTCTTACTGTAGTGTTGTCTTACTGTAGTGTGTAGTACTGTAGTGTGTAGTACTGTAGTGTGTAGTACTGTAGTGTGTAGTACTGTAGTGTTGTCTTACTGTAGTGTGTAGTACTGTAGTGTTGTCTTACTGTAGTGTGTAGTACTGTAGTGTGTAGTACTGTAGTGTGTGGTACTGTAGTGTGTAGTACTGTAGTGTGTATTATTGTCGTGTTGTCTTACTGTAGTGTGTGGTTCTGTAGTGTTTGGTACTGTAGTGTGTGGTACTGTAGTGTGTAGTACTGTAGTGTTGTCTTACTGTAGTGTGTAGTACTGTAGTGTGTAGTACTGTAGTGTGTGGCAACTGTTTTAACCCTTTATAGGCAGTAGAAGATATTATTGAGCTGAGACAAACCCTTACCCAATAAAAGATTAAGGCATCACGTTTAGTTGACAACGTGTCCAGGAGTCTTGCCAGGTCTCCAACAATAGGATGGGTATACACAGGGGCGTATTGATCTGTTGTTTTGGGAAGTCTATAATTTGTAGCTTCAATCAGTTACAGAAATGCACACTGAGAACCTGTAGGGTCTTCACTAGTGTATTATAACAAACACCTGTGAACAAAAGGAAGACAAACGTTGGAGAACAAAGTTCATAGAACGATCAGGTATATATGAAAAAAATACATTAAAACATTAAAGAGACGCTCTCTCTCTCTCTCTTTATATATATATATATATATATATATATATATATATATATATATATATATATATATATATATATATATATATATATATATGTATATATATATTTATATATATATATTTATATATATATGTATATATATATTTATACATATATATTTATATATATATATATATTTTTCCTACAACAGCTACGAGTGGGTGTTCCCAAACTTAGTCACTGCAGGATTCCAGCAGCCTAGTGGTACTTGGCTAGGCGTTATAAGCTATCTTATGTAATCGCCTGACTTAGAATTTTCGTTATATTAGAAATTGTATTTACAATATTTCAGCACTTTCTTTTTAACTAGCTAGCTGACATTTGTGCTACCCCTATGTTACTCAGAATTCCATTGCTACTCGGACATCTGGGATATCTGATGTATCAAAAATCATTTCTCATTGAGAATCCGAGTTTTATTTAAAATCAATGGCATGTTCAGAAATCCAATGCCAGTTAGAATTTTTAGTGTAAAAGGAATTTTAATCTTATTCATAAATTAACATTAACTGAAACATTTAATTGCATGAGGAACTATTTACATTATGAGAAAGAAAGGGGTAAGAAGCCAATCTGTTTAATGTGTAAATATTATACAAGAACAATAAAATAAGTTCGAAAGCAGTATTACTTTGAGGTGCTGAAGAAGCTTAACACCGCCACCTAAAATGTTTTGTGATTTGACAGAAAAAAAATACTTAGAGCCTTCAAAGCGTTTTATTTTGCTCATAAATGTTAAACACAAATAAATCTATCTAAGATAATTTACTAATATACTTCATAACTTTTCCAGTAACAAAAAAGGATTTTATTTCTTCACTTAATGTGATGATCGCACATGCCCTTTGATGTTTCCAGCAGTAACGCCACTGACCGACCCCAAGTCAGTGTTGTAGTTCAGGCCGACCTTTGAGTGCCTGGTGACCCTTGAGAGCCACTTCCACCAGCAGCACCACAGACGCCAACAACATTCCTGGTGGAAATGATCACTTCTTAGTTATGAAATATTGTCCAGCGTCACATCTTAATGATATCCTAACGGCTGCTCCTCTTCTGTCTACGTGTAACTTCAGCTGAAAGTTTATTTATCATCATCAATTTAATCTTTACATGAGGTTATTTACAGGGTTCATCGACAAGCAGATTCTATCATAACATACTGTAGGACAGTTTACATTCTATGTTGACGAAAACCTTAGTTATAGTGTACTATAATAAATGTACCGTAAATTTTACGGTGGAATACCGGTAGCCCAGTTGCCAGTGCTCCACCGTAAAATTTACAGTGCCTAAATTACGGCGTCCGTTAATGTCATAGCAGACGACGACCATGTAACTGTAAAAAGAGGAACTAATAGAAAATCACCGTCAAACAAAATACAGTGGCCAACTGTAGATTTTTTTATAGTGAACCACTGTAATATTCGCGGGAATTTTTTACAGTGTACATCGTATACTCGAGCAAGATACTTTTAAATAATATTTGTTTAAAAAAATATATAAAATTTATGCTTAGAAAGACCTGCGATGATATTAAGAATATAAAATCATTCAACATATTTATGGCTTCAGACAGAAATATAAGACAAAAATAATACAGACACTACTTCTGTTCTGCAAAAAAGAGAAAAAATACAAATAAGAGTAACATCTGTGGATAACATACGTGTTTACAGCATAACACAAACCATTATTATATATACGCGATCATTTTAATAGTGGAACTTTATGGATCACTGGATCAAGGATAGTCTAAAATATTGTTAACACCAATAATGATATATTTCCTCTTTGTCATATCTTGGTCATGGTTTTAACACATTCTACATTTAGTTTAACATTATTTAAGTGGAAGTAGTACATCATTCCATAGACAAATGCCAGTATTGTAAACAAGAAAATACTCTTATCAAAGCTATCTACTCTTGAGACATCACAGGATAACTCACTACTTTCTCATGTTCTATAACCGAGGTGATTATGAATAATCCAAGTCTTAGCTCTTCTACTATGTACTCAACAGAAGAGCATTCAGCATTTAATTTACTATGTTGTTTTGCCTAACCTACAAAATACCTTCGTCCTCTGTTGTGATCAAAACTCCTCATCTCCTCCAACATATATTAAACAACATTTACGAATCCTTAGTTGCCGTTTTTAGAAACTTAACGTGAATGACCTTAGCGGTAAGTCTCGGGGTTCCTTACCTCCGGCATAAACAGCGAAGACGCCATAAAAGTCCTCCAGTTTCAGTGGCCGAAGGCTGTTTTTGGGTCTGGTGAAGGACTCAGGTGTAAAACAAACGGTTCCATTACGTACTGCAGAAAGATACAAATGTTCGAGGATGCCAAATTCCAGAAGTCTTCTGAGACTGTAAATAAAAGAAACATATATTATTTTTAGCTCGTTTGTACTCGTCTTAAGTGCCTGGCAGGGAGGTAGAAAACACGTGGTTTAATAGATATAAAGCTTAGAAACCAATCATTTGCCCATCATTCTTATTAAGTTCTTTAATACCTTTTATCACATAATAAACTTAGACTTACATGGGGTCCAGCACGTGTTTGAGAGGCGAGCCCTTGGGAAATGCGAAGCCAGAAGATATTCCAGTGTAGATACGCTCAGACGCAATATACATGGGACAGGAATTTGCCTGTAACATATATCAACATGTAAGACGCAAATAAACATCTTCACATATTATTGTAGCAATGTCAAAATAAACTATAAAGTGATCATCGAGAATTTGGAATGTTAACAGCAGATACAAAATATATAATTTGATCTTCTTAAGTGTTAAGTGCAGTTACAACAGTTATCTTGTGTTGTTCTTAGGGTGGTAACTCTCAAACATTAAGTGCAATCTCTGCTACTTTTCCCTTTTTTCTCTTTTGGTTGTAGTGTGGTGGATTAATGCAATACTACACGCAAATCGTTGAGATCTGACAGAGAGTGTGAAATTTGGCATGAAGTTATCTTTTGCCACGTGGAAATATTTCCAGGGTGAGGACACGCTGGGACTTCACTCTGGCGGCCATTCTGAGCAAATTTAAAATGGCCGCCTCGATCCCACAGCCCAAATCATAAAATACCATATCTCAGGTTAGTTTCATATTGTTTTGAGGATACCTGATCAATCTAACTGTTTCGAGGTCAAGTTTACATGATAAGTTAAGGTCAAGGTCAATATTTACCCTAAAACACCACACCGGCTTTTGCAGACAGGCTCAATATATGAATTAATGAGTGGTGTAATAAAATGTGACACAAGTACTTTCATTACTACCCTTGGCACTAAATTGGTCATGGGTGAATGTGTGACCAACTCGTTAAGATATATTCATGTGATCGGATCTGCCATGTACTATGATTTCGTCAAAACACGCTTCAATTATGCCTCAAAGGCCATCACTGAAACTATCCATCGTAATGGACTGTACACGTTCAAAAACGTACCTGACAAACAAAGATGTTAAAGTTCAAGCTCTCAAACACAACTTGGCCTTGGTCACTCAGTTCTTAATTCTGCCATCACAACCAGATGCATATGTTGATGAGTTTTTAATGTATGAAATTAAAAGCACCCACACCATTAGCTGTTGCTGGTCGTTTGCAAATTGGTATGAAGTACGATCCCCTGAAATGTTTGGAAAAAGTGAACGAAAAACCAGTTGGAGATGCAACAGTTGTCCATTTTATCCAACCCACCCAACCCATGAGCACGATCAGTGGATATACGGAGAAGCAATTGGTGACATTTGCAAGATCTCAAGCCTCTGGTTGTGTTGATCGTATGGACTGGATACGGCATATCTAACCTGAGAGAAGACTGAAAGACCAAGCTCATGCGAATCAAGGGGATGGTCCAAGAAAAACAATTACTCCAACACTCCTATCAACCAAAAAGAGTGTAGAGAATAAAACAGAACTCTTCACAATCACCAGTAAGCGGTTAGCTGAGGAAGACCTGGGTGTGCAACTTATCACAACACAAGAAAAAGTTCTTACTCAACCACCCTGTGGCACGGAGGGTCTGGGACCGTGTAACCATCAAGAAACTGACACGGGGAAGATCCTCCACCTCAAACATGCAGGTCAGCACGACCGTGACAAAGCATACCTCCGCAAAGTGGACACTGATGTCGTGGTTGTCGCAATCTCATTGTTCCCTGAACTGTCATTGTCTAAGCTATGGGTGACTTTTGGGATTGGAAAACACTTCCACTATAACCCCATTCACATGCTAGCATCATAGCTCGGCCTTGAGTTAGGAATTGTGCTTCCCTTTTTCCATGCACTGACAGGCTCAGAGACTACATCGCAATTTGTAGGAGGTGGCAAGAAGACAGCTTGGGAAGTGTGGAAGCTCTTTCCAGAATTCACGGCTAGCTTGCTCGCAATATTGCGTGATCCCGACTACTTCACCATGAAATCTGTACTTATTTAAGTCACCGAACGTTTCATTGTCCTACTTTACAGTAAGTATTGTGAATCTGCTCCAGTGAATCAAGCCCGGATGGAAATGTTCTCACGAAGGAGTAGAACCCTCGACAATATCCCACCTACCCAGATAGACCTATTTCAGCATGTGAGAGGAGCCATTCTTGAGGCAGCTTTCATTTGGGGTCAGGTGCTGCAACTTCATCAAAACATCCCTGAGCCTACCGATTGGGATGGATGATCTCAGATAAGGAGTTGGTGCTATTCTGGACTACACTTGCAGATGTGAGTAAAGCTTGCTCGATCCTACTACACTGTGGGTACAAGAAATCATTCACTGGCAAGTGCATATACAACAAAGCCCACTTACACTGCTCCTCCTTATGTCACTGCCAAGGTGCTTATTGTAAAAAAAATGATCTTACCTAATGTTCTCATTGGCTAAAACACATTAATTTTTTTATTTGTCTATATTACTTTTATTCTCAATAAGTTCACACAGGTTTCAGTGATAATTCATCTTTAAACAGCAACTACAGCCGCTCGATTGTAACTTCTTGACAACCGCAACCTCGTAACTATGAAATCTGACAACCGTGACATCCTTAATACAGAGGCGTTTTAGAGCCATGTATGACATTGACCTTGAATATTCATGTGACGGTGACCTTGAATCATTCCGAAACATAGTTATGTCGATCAGATAATCTCAAAACTATAAGAAACGAGCCCAAGGTCATCAAATTTGAGCCAGCGGTTGTAGAGATAGAAAGATGCAGGTGTTTTAGGTTAAAATATGACCTTGACCTAAACTTACCAGTTGAACTTTTCATCGAAACATTCCGAAACATAGTTAGATTGATCAGGCATACTCAAATTTATAAGAAACGTGCCTGAGATATGGCATTTTATGATTTGGGCTGTGGAATTGAGACGGTCAATTTGAATTTGCTAAAAATGGCCGCCAGAGTGAATTCCCAGCGTGTCCCTACGCATGAAATGATTCTATGTAGTAAGAGGTAACTTCATGCCAAGTTTCACACTTTCTGCCGGATCTGAACGACTTTTGCATTAATCCATCCCCCTATTGGTGTGAATTAAGGGAAAGAGAAACCTAAAAAAAAGGGAGAAAAGAAAATGAGGATAAGATTTTACGGAAGGTGTAAGAAGTGACAGGATATAAGGGAAGTGACAAGTAGGAACTTCACACACAGACACTTCCTCGTGTTCTTAACTTACCCTTAACCTACAGTGCTTTATGTTAATTAACTGTGCGTAATTCTTTAGTTTCTACCTACGACACATTAGCCCCCAAAGAAGAGTCTTACCATTGAGAACATATCGTGAAAAAGAGGTCTCATTACGAAATCAGAGGCGACGATAACATATTTTCCAGCACTGCTTTCCTTCATTGCCAGAGGCGGGCTAGTGTGGAGTGTGAGCCGGTCGTTGACTCGGTGGAGCAGGGAGCCGGGTGGAGCGATCTGTACGCAGAGGACATTGTGTTATTATCTTCAATTTATTTTGGAATTTCTATCCTCGTTAAGTGTCTACCTCCAGGACTGTTTCTCTCCCATTTCCCTCATTTCTGTCGGCTTTTGTATCTCTCTCTCTCTCTCTCTCTCTCTCTCTCTCTCTCACCTTTCTACTTATGTTCTCGGTATTTTAGTGAAGTATATTTGCTGCCTCTCTCTCCATCAGTAAACACTGTCAACCTACTGTTAGTCTCTGGTCCAGCCAAACTTCCCCTCACCTGTCTCTCTCCAGCGGTGACTTGTTAACTTATCACATCTAACTCTCTCCTTCTCTATCATTCTATTTGTGATGATACGAAGATTTTGTTAACAAATATGATACTCAAGACAGTCTTACCATTAGAAGGATATAATATAATATATTTAATTTTAGTCAGTACATCAGTAAATAAGTTTATAATGGTCTTTCAGCACACATAATTTGTGACTAAGTTCATAAACACCTTAGTATATGTTGTGTGACATTCTCAGATTACCTAAGACTCTTGTCGTTCAGTTTATACATAAGAAGGTTACTATGTGTCACTTAGTAGCGTTAAATGTCCCGTTTTACATGTCATAAGTCAGCTGTGTTCTTTACTCTTACGCCAAACTCTGTAAAAATCTGTTGGTTGTCTTGTAGATGTTGGCAAGTTATCTATCATGTTAGTCCAAGAAGGCTGTGAAATATTGGATTAACGTTCAGATAGACTGTTTCTCCCTCGGTAACCTGTCAGATTGTTTTTCCCTCGGTAACCTGTCAGATTGTTTCTCCCTCGGTAACCTGTCAAACTGTTTCTCCCTCGGTAGCCTGACAGACTGTTTCTCCCTCGGTAACCTGTCAGGCTGTTTCCCTTTCGGTAATCTGTCAGGGTGTTTCTCCCTCGGTAGCCTGTCAAACTGTTTCTCCCTCGGTAACCTGTCAGGCTGTTTCTCCCTCGGTAACCTGTCAAATTGTTTCTCCCTCGGTAACCTGACAGACTGTTTCTCCCTCGGTAACCTGTCAGGCTGTTTCCCTTTCGGTAAGCTGTCAGACTGTTTCTCCCTCGGTAACCTGTCATACTGTTTCTCCCTCGGTAACCTGTCAGGCTGTTTCCCTTTAGGCAACCTGTCAGACTGTTTCTCCCTCGGTAACCCGTCAGACTGTTTCTCCCTCGACAATGGAGTTAAACAAGGTGCAGTTTTTAGTGCAAGGTTTCCATCTAGTCTTAATTAATTGCCGGGAGTGTTGCATTCAGTGAAGATGGCAGCTATAAAGGAACACCTGTAAAGATAGCAGCCATAAAGGAACACCTGTAAAGATGGCAGCTATAAAAGAACACCTGTAAAGATAGCAGCCATAAAGGAACACCTGTAAAGATGGCAGCTATAAAGGAACACCTGTAAAGATAGCAGCCATAAAGGAACACCTGTAAAGATGGCAGCTATAAAGGAACACCTGTAAAGATAGCAGCCATAAAAGAACACCTGTAAAGATGGCAGCTATAAAGGAACACCTGTAAAGAAAGAGGAACACCTGTAAAGATGGCAGCTATAAAGGAACACCTGTAAAGAAAGATAAAGAACACCTGTAAAGATGGCAGCTATAAAGGAACACCTGTAAAGATAGCAGCTATAAAGGAACACCTGTAAAGATGGCAGCTATAAAGGAACACCTGTAAAGATGGCAGCTATAAAGGAACACCTGTAAAGGCAGCTATAAAGGAACACCTGTAAAGATGGCAGCTATAAAGGAACACCTGTAAAGATGGCAGCTATTAAGGAACACCTGTAAAGATAGCAGCCATAAAGGAACACCTGTAAAGATGGCAGGCATAAAGGAACACCTGTAAAGATGGCAGCTATAAAGGAACACCTGTAAAGATAGCAGCCATAAAGGAACACCTGTAAAGATAGCAGTCATAAAGGAACATCCGTAAGGATGGCAGCCATAAAGGAACACCTGTTTTATAGTGTTAAGTCTTTACTCTCACCACGTCTGATTTGAACAAAATTATCAGAATGTGTCAAAATATCTTGTTAAGTATATCCTTATAAATGATCCTATTATGTATACCTCGGTTATTTGTAACTACACCACTGTTAATAATTTCGTACCAAATTTTCAGATTCTCTTCATCCATCCGAAGCAAAACTAGAGAACAGTAGAAATGATTACGAGATTTGGTAGATATCAAGGTTTACATACCGTTACAAGATAATGAATCAGCGTCCCTTCAGGTAAAAACACGTGGATGTCCGTCTCCATCAACTCCTCGAGGCTGTTGAAGGGGACTTGAACCTTGGGCATGATGAGCATCGCCTTCAGGTTACAACGGTAAACTAGAACCAAGATGACTGATATCAGCAGCCACAGGCCAGAAAGAAGTCGAACAGAGTCCCTCTGTGGCGACCAAGTTGACGCTGTTGAGAGATAAAATACATATGAGATTTTAGTGAAACATATGATAATTTTTCTTGCATTACTTAAAACTTTAACCTTAAACAGATAATGAATTTAAGACAATAGGACTCAGTATCGTATGTTCAGTGACCAGTGGTAACTGCTATGAAGTATTACACAAGTCCATAACACAACAGCAACGCTCCGAGAGTAAGGTGTAGCATGCAGACGTGCTGTGCCTAGTTCCAAAAAAAAACAACATTTGTCGTTCGAAACATTTTGCGCAAGGAACTCTACGGGATACAGGTGAAGTCGGCCCTTGGTGTTTTCGGCCCAGTAATCTCGGCCCATTTCGGTAATCTTGGCTCACATAGGATGTGGGCCAACGTCCACAATGATATTAACAGTCAGGATTCATATATGAGGCTTTTTTTCCAGTTATAAGGAAAGATAATCTATTTGTTTTTATAAGTCCCTTAATATACCATTATTGCTTTTTTCCGATTCACAAAATTCGAAGTTTACGTGTTTAAATATTTCATGTAGATCCACAGTGGAAACGGGGACAGGATAAATCTCGATAAAATCACACAATACAGATGGCAGCACCAGCTTTGGAAGAGTCCTAGTTTAACATCCATTACACAAAAGGAAAATTGCGTTTTAACCTTTCACCGCGTGTCAGGCACTTGCCATTTTAATCTGGCTACCGCCAGATGATTTTATTCAACTTAGGGTAACGTCCCGCAGTGAATTAATCATTATGTAGCCAAAATACAGTAGATAAAACTTTCAACAAAAGTGAAAGAGCTACCACGAAGCTTATCACATTCATTGTGTGTGATTTACTTAAAACTTCTTAAGTAGTATAATGATGTACTGCTTAGGCCGTGCAATGAATAACATCACGTTCAGCCACAAACGCTTCACATTTATTAAGCAGCTGCTGGAGAACGGAAGCAACGGTGACATGTATGTCATCAACATGCCGATGTGGAGGCAGTAACCTCCCGTGTACTGTACTAAGGACACACAACACTCACCCTGAGAAATAACAGTGCCAAACGTCCAAATGTAGGAAGTCCAGACCATAGTGGAGAGATCGGAACGCCCAACGGACTCCCTGCCATCACTGTCAAATACAAGTCCTTACCTTACTGCCATACAGTATGACACGATACCTAAAAATATGTTTATTCCCCCTTTCTCTAAATCCAAAAATGTTGCTGATAATACAGGAATTTTATAAATATATTTGCGATTCGTTAACGTATTTCTCATTACAGATAAAATAGAATAAAATTATAAATACTATCATTATATTTTGATGTAGATGAAGATGGCCAAGGCTCAATCACTGTAAACTTATATCAAGAGAATTATCTTATGTTATGACTTATGGAAGATTAAGATTTTGAACTATATGGTTACTGTTATACTATAAAAGGAGCCTCAGACACCACACAGATATAACGGCTGGTTACTGTTATACTATAAGAGGAGCCTCAGGCACCACACAGATATAACGGCTGGTTACTGTTATACTATAAGAGGAGCCTCAGGCACCACACATATATAACGGCTGGTTACTGTTATACTATAAGAGGAGCCTCAGGCACCACCAGATATAACGGCTGGTTACTGTTATAATATAAGAAGAGCCTCAGCACCACACAGACATAACGGCTGGTTACTGTTATACTATAAGAGGAGCCTCAGGCACCACACAGATATAACGGCTGGTTACTGTTATACTATAAGAGGAGCCTCAGACACCACACAGCATAACGGCTGGTTACTGTTATACTATAAGAGGAGCCTCAGGCACCACACAGATATATCGGCTGGTTACTGTTATACTATAAGAGGAGCCTCAGGCACCACCCAGATATAACGGCTGGTTACTGTTATACTATAAGAGGAGCCTCAGGCACCACACAGATATAACGGCTGGTTACTGTTATACTATAAGAGGAGCCTCAGGCACCACCCAGATATAACGGCTGGTTACTGTTATACTATAAGAGGAGCCTCAGACACCACACAGACATAACGGCTGGTTACTGTTATAATATAAGAGGAGCCTCAAACACCACACAGACATAACGGCTGGCTACTGTTATACTATAAGAGGATCCTCAGGCACCACACACGCATGGTTACTGTTATACTATAAGAGGAGCCTCTCAGGCACCACACACAGATATAACGGTCAATATACTATAAGAGGAGCCTCAGGCACCACACATATAACGGCTGGTTAATGTTATACTATAAGAGGAGTCAGGCAATCACACACATATAACGGCTGGAAGCCATTGTTATACTATGTTATACTATAAGAGGAGCCTCAGGCACCACCCAGATATAACGGCTGGTTACTGTTATACTATAAGAGGAGCCTCAGGCACCACACAGATATAACGGCTGGTTACTGTTATACTATAAGAGGAGCCTCAGGCACCACACAGATATAACGGCTGGTTACTGTTATACTATAAGAGGAGCCTCAGGCACCACCCAGATATAACAGACTGTTATACTACGATATATGGCTGGTTGCTGTTATACTATAAGAGGCCTCAGGCACCACACAGATATAACGGCTGGTTACTGTTATACTATAAGAGGAGCCTCAGGCACCACACATATATAACGGCTGGTTACTGTTATACTATAAGAGGAGCCTCAGGCACCACACACATACTATATAAGGAGGCCTCAGGCACCACACCACATAACGGCTGCTTCTTACTGTTATACTATAAGAGGAGCCTCAGGCACCACACAGATATAACGGCTGGTTACTGTTATACTATAAGAGGAGCCTCAGGCACCACACATATATAACGGCTGGTTACTTTTATACTATAAGAGGAGCCTCAGGCACCACACATATATAACGGCTGGTTACTGTTATACTATAAGAGGAGCCTCAGGCACCACACATATATAACGGCTGGTTACTGTTATACTATAAGAGGAGCCTCAGGCACCACACATATGTAACGGGTGGTTACTGTTATACTATAAGAGGAGCCTCAGGCACCACACAGATATAACGGCTGGTTACTGTTATACTATAAGAGGAGCCTCAGGTATAACGGTTGGTTACTTTTATACTATAAGAGGAGCCTCAGGCACCACACAGATATAACGGCTGGTTACTGTTATACTATAAGAGGAGCCTCTGGCACCACACAGATATAACGGCTGATTACTGTTATACTATAAGAGGAGCCTCAGGCACCACACAGAATGTAACAACTGATTGCTTTTATATAAGAGGCCTCAGAGGCACCACACAGATATAACGGCTGGTTACTGTTATACTATAAGAGGAGCCTCAGGCACCACACAGATATAACGGCTGGTTACTGTTATACTATAAGAGGAGCCTCAGGCACCACCCAGATATAACGACTGGTTACTGTTATACTATAAGAGGAGCCTCAGGCACCACACAGATATAACGGCTGGTTACTGTTATACTATAAGAGGAGCCTCAGGCACCACCCAGATATAACGGCTGGTTACTGTTATACTATAAGAGGAGCATCAGGCACCACACAGACATAACGGCTGGTTTCTGTTATACTATAAGAGGAGCCTCAGGCAAACTTCAGATATAACGGCTGTTGGGCTGTTATAATTATAAGAGGGAGCTCAGGCACCACCCAGATATAACGGTTGGTTACTGTTATACTATAAGAGAGCCTCAGCACCACACAGGTATAGTTTGTTGTCATTTGTTATACTATAAGAGGAGCCTCAGGCACCACACAGATATATAACGGCTGGTTACTGTTATACTATAAGAGGAGCCTCAGGCACCACACAGATATAACGGCTGGTTACTGTTATACTATATGAGGAGCCTCAGGCACCACACAGATATAACGGCTGGTTACTGTTATACTATAAGAGGAGCCTCAGACACCACACAGACATAACGACTGGTTACTGTTATAATATAAGAGGAGCCTCAGGCACCACCCAGATATAACGGCTGGTTACTGTTATACTATAAGAGAGCCTCAGGCACCACGGGTAACGGCTGGTTACTGTTATACTATAAGAGGTATCAGGCACCACACATATACTATAACGGCTAGTTATATTTATACTATAAGAGAAGCCTCATGCACCACACAATATAACGGCTGGTTTACTATTATATACTATAAGAGAGAGCCTCAAACTACATTTAGATATAACGGCTGGTTGCTGTTGCCACTATAAGAGGCCTCAGACACCACACAGACACATAACATGGTTTCTGTATACTATAAAGAGGAGCCTCAGGCACCACACAGATATAACGGCTGGTTACTGTTATGCTATAAGAGGAGCTCAGGCACGACACAGACACTTGGCTGGTTACTATTATACTATAAGAGGCCTCAGGCACCACACAGAATCATAACAGCTGGATTGCTGTTATACTATAAGAGGACCCTCAGGCACCACACAGACATAACGGTTGGTTACGTATATAAGAAGGAGCCTCAGACACCACACAGATATAACGGCTGGTTACTGTTATACTATAAGAGGAGCCTCCAGACACCACACAGATATAACGGCTGGTTACTGTTATACTATAAGAGGAGCCTCGGAGCACCACACACAGACATAACGGCTGGTTGCTGTTATACTATAAGAGGGCCTCCCAGGCACCACAGAACCTCAACAGCTGGTTGCTGTTATACTATAAGAGGGCCTCAGGCACCACACAGAACATAACGGCTGGTGCTGTTATGCTATAAGAGGCCTCAGACACCACACAGATATAACGGCTGGTTACTGTTATACTATAAAGAGGACTCAGACTTACACAGATATAACGGCTGGTTACTGTTATACTATAAGAGGAGCCTTAGACACCACACAGACATAACGGCAGGTTACTGTTATACTATAAGAGGAGCCTCAGGCACCACACAGACATAACGGCTGGTTACTGTTATACTATAAGAGGAGCCTCAGGCACCACACAGACATAACGACTGGTTACTGTTATACTATAAGAGGCGCCTCAGACACCACACAGACATAACGGCTGGTTACTGTTATACTATAAGAGGAGCCTCAGGCACCACACAGACATAACGACTGGTTACTGTTATACTATAAGAGGAGCCTCAGGCACCACCCAGATATAACGGCTGGATACTGTTATACTATAAGAGGAGCCTCAGACACCACACAGACATAACGGCTGGTTACTGTTATACTATAAGAGGAGCCTCAGACACCACACATGTATAACGACTGGTTACTGTTATACTATAAGAGGAGCCTCAGGCACCACCCAGATATAACGGCTGGTTACTGTTATACTATAAGAGGAGCCTCAGACACCACACAGACATAACGGTTGGTTACTGTTATACTATAAGAGCAGCCTCAGACACCACACATATATAACGGCTGGTTACTGTTATACTATAAGAGGAGCCTCAGACACCACACATATATAACGGCTGGTTACTGTTATACTATAAGAGGAGCCTCAGACACCACACATATATAACGGCTGGTTACTGTTATACTATAAGAGGAGCCTCAGGTACCACACAGATATAACGGCTGGTTACTGTTATACTATAAGAGGAGCCTCAGACACCACACAGACATAACAGCTGGTTACTGTTATACTATAAGAGGAGCCTCAGGCACCACACAGATATAACGGCTGGTTACTGTTATACTATAAGAGGAGCCTCTGGCACCACACAGATATAACGGCTGGTTACTGTTATAATATAAGAGGAGCCTCAGACACCACACAGACATAACGGCTGGTTACTGTTATACTATAAGAGGAGCCTCAGGCACCACACAGATATAACGGCTGGTTACTTTATACTATAAGAGGAGCCTCAGGCACCACACAGATATAACGGCTGGTTACTGTTATACTATAAGAGGAGCCTCAGACACCACACAGACATAACGGCTGGTTACTGTTATACTATAAGAGGAGCCTCAGGCACCACACAGACATAACGGCTGGTTACTGTTATACTATAAGAGGAGCCTCAGACACCACACATATATAACGGCTGGTTACTGTTATACTATAAGAGGAGCCTCAGGCACCACACAGATATAACGGCTGGTTA